AGGCACTTCCAGCTCTAATTAAGCACGTGGGTTCCCTCCTTGCTCCAGCTTACTTTTTCAGGCTCCTTGTCCTCTTTTCCTGCCTTGCATGTAGCTTGAAAGTAACTAAGTGTTTCTCACTTGCATAAAGGAAAAGTTTGCGGGAAATGGCCGAGCGCTTGGCTGACAAGTACGAAGAAGCCAAAGAGAAGCAGGAAGATATTATGAACAGGTGAGTGCAGACTGCCCTGTGTTCCACCAGAGATCACCTGCTGTTAACGAGAAGCCTGCAAGTGTGGTAGAACAGAGTGGGCAGGAAGGGCCAGGCTGGTTGGTTCTCTTTGTTGGGGCTCAGGGGTGATGTTTTAGTACTCCAGGTGCAGGCTGAGGCGGCTTATGGCTTAGGAAGGCCCAGTGAGATCAGCTGAGGGAGAAAGTCAAGTCTTGAGCCCCAGGAAGAGTGACGGAAGAGCAGGACCCTCTGTGTCAGCATAGCTGATCAAATAGGTGAGTTATCTCGGCACCATTTCTTGCTTTGTACGTCCAGGATGAAGAAAGTACTTCGGAGCTTCCACTCTCGGCTTCCTGTTCTATCAGACAGTGAAAAAGATATGAAGAAAGAATTGCAGACGATCCATGACCAGCTGCAGCACCTGAGCAACGCTATCAGGCAGGTGAGCTAATGCCACACCGGGCTGGAGGGTACCCAGGGTAGTGCTGAGAGAATCCAGTCCTGCCCCGTGAGCAACTTCATACTCCTGTCAACTTCGCAACAACAGACTAAAATAACTTCTGGGCCTTGTTATTAACATAGACAGACCCTCTCCAACCCCGTAGAGACCCTAAGAAAGAAAGTCTACACACCTTCCTCAGCCCTAGCAGTAACATTGTTTTCTCTGGGGGAGGAAGAGAGCAAAAAGCCAGCAGGTTTTAACCCAAAGAGAATCAATTGGGTGCAGTACAACGCTGGTTTGTAACTGTAACAAGCTTTCAGGGCGGCAGGCGGTAGCAGCGCTCACTGGGGTCTTCTTGTATGGGACTTCTAGGTTAAAATGAAAAAGGAATACCAGCAGAAAAAGATGGAAAAGGGTACCAGCCCCAAAAAACCCAGCATCACCCTCAGTGCCTACCAGAGCAAGTGCATCCAGACCGTCCTGAAAGAAGAGTAAGTTAAAGCTTGGCTCCTCCCGTAGAATTCCAGCCCTGGCACTTACATAAGCAAGTCGATTCGAGTTTCTGAGGTGTAGTTTAACCTCTGTGCTGCATGAGGGGCTGACTGATGCACAGCTGGAGCTTGTAGAGATGGTCTGAGGCATAAACTGTGCCAGCTCCTGCCCTCTCTGCTCCTGTTAAACTAAGCCTGACTTAAGGCTGCTTTTTGCCCAAGGATCTTGTGGCAGTCTCTAGCCAGCCTATAAGTAACAGAATGACTTGCAACAGTGCCCCCCTTCTCTGCTTCTACCTTATGAAGTATTTTCCTTCCTGCTTAGTTTCAAGCAAAAATGACTTGCAGCCTTTTGACTTGGATTTATTTTTCTTGAAGGGGAGAACACATAAGGGAAATGGTAAAACAGATCAATGACATCAGAAACCACGTGAACTTCTAACGTGTCCGCACTGAGGCATCTACCCTGAACGCTGGACGAGCTTTAATTGTCCCTGGTATTTCCCCTTGTACATTGAACGTTTGTATGTTGGACATTACAAAATAATAAGTAAAAGGCGTAAAGATGGACTGTGAAATAAAATACTTTTGGCAAGACTCGCTGAGAGGCTGTGCTCTTGTTTTTTTTCCTGGGAAGGACGGGGCAGTAGGGTCCAGGGTCACACTCGGAGCTCCTCCCCCCGCGGCTCCCGCTGTTATTCCGGGGGGGGGGGGGGGGGGGGAGCGGCTTCTCCACCCCCTGGCCCGGGGCAGGGCCGCTGCGGGGGAGCCCAGGGCAGAGGCTGAGTAGAAAGACCAGAGAAGCGCACACACTTCAGCAGCTTTTTTTAATTTAGAACACTTTCTTCATAAAGGACACACCTTCAATACAGTTAACAAATGGTTACACTTGAATCCTGGAGACAGCAGAATTCTACACCCACAATTGCACAGGACACCAATGGCTTGGCTCACTGGAATGCAGTATTAACTTCCAAACACTCAGTTTGCCTTTAGCAAAAGAGGGCTCTGGAGTCCGTCTTGACATTAAAAGGCCAATTATTTATCTGCTGTAGACAAACTTTAGTGGACAATAAATAATTGTTGTCCCCTCCCCCCACCCCTTAGAAAAGGTGACACGGTCAAGCTCAGTTTTGAAAAGTAGTACTGCACTGCTACAAAAGTGGCACGGTAAGAGGTGCCGACCTAAGCTGTAAGGAAAGGAGGGCTGTTTGTTAGTACCTGGTAGGTAACAAGGTTACCAGACATGCTGCAAGAACACTTTTTTTTTTTTTTTCTTTTTGTACAGATTAAGACTATACAAGTATAGGAATGCATACAAAACTTGATCTCGCCCCTTTTACAGTCTACATGAGCAGAATCCTTTTCTAATCCACTCACCCTGTGTAGCATAGCCGACCTGCCAGGTTAGAAGTCGTGCTGGTTGAGTCTCTTATCAAGCACAGAGAACCTACCACCCTGCTCCAGTCAAGCTCCAGAACACCAAGAACTAGAGGGAAGAGCATCTGTTTTTTGATGGTTAATGAGAAATAACACCATCATTCATCCAGTGAGTATCTATCTACACCAAGAGCTTTTACTACACTTAATTTACTCTCTTAAATTTGCTCCGCAAATTTGGCACACGCTGTTTTGTTTTCAAAGGCCCCTTTAAGCCTGAGATCAGCAGAAGCTTGAGTTCCTGCTGGAGAAGCCCTGCTCCCTGGGTGAGCGGGGCAGCTGGGTGTAGAGAGCACATCTCCCACCACTGCTGTGAACCGTCACGTTTCCAACTTCAAGAAATTTTAAAAGGTATGATCTTAAGTTGCATCAGTTGGTGAAAAAGGTCACTCGTTCTGACTCTAAAATGGTCACAGCTGGTACTTGAACAGGAATATGGGTGTTCGGGTGCACGATGGAATAAGGTGGTAAAAAGGAAAACGACCACAGAGTAATTGCATTCCTTTCCTCTCCAGGCCAAAAGGAATTTCCTTCACCGACTCGCTCGGTGCCTGGTTTAGGAGCAGGGAAGCCAGCAGCCAGCGACTCTGGTCAGAGCTCTGGTCTCAGTCCCCCTCATGCCCAGCCAGGTCTGCCCCCAGGCTCTAACGGCCCGCGGAGCACCCGCGCAAGAACTCCATTAGGCAACCTGCGCTTGGTGCCGCGGCTGGACAGATCACAACTCACCCGGCTTCCCCAAAGGCCTGCAGAAACACACCGGCAGCCTGACACCCCCCCAGCCTCCAGAAAAGCCACGTCAACGGCTTGTCAAAATACACCAAGGAAAAGCCACGCCGGCCCTGGGCTGGCTGAAACGGTCCCTGGGCATGGCTGCCCAGAGCTGCTGGGGGGCACTGACCCAGGGAGCGGGCGGGGATGCCCCAAGGCCAGACACAGACTCTTGCCTTGTGCTCTCACTCGAGGGCGACAGGCCAGAAACTCAACCAAAAAGTCTTTTTTTCCTGCGTAAGTCTTCAAGGTGCATTTCCCCCAAGTGTTCGGCTTGCTGAAGAGCTGGCCAGGGTTTGGTGTGGTTCTGTCACACAGCAACAGGCTTCCTCAAACACTGCTGCAAGGGTTAAGTATCAGTAACCAGTTAGGAGTTAGTTTTTGGGAAGGAAGGGAACAGAGGGAAAAGTTTTTCATTCTGCAGCTCCCATTATTGGCCCATGCTTTTTTCTTCAAAGTTCATTCAACAGAACAGGACCCTAACCACTGGAAAATGGAAGCAAAACATCTGGTATTGGATTTATGCATCAGGAGGCAGCTGCTGTCACCTCACAGTTCAGCAAAGAGTGAGAAAGGTTAAAAACCCCAAAAGCTGGTAATAGCCAATTAATAAAGGAACTAACCCACATTTCTATTTCACTTTTAACTAAGTGTCAGCTTAAGATGATGACAACTCTGCCCTCTATTAGTCCAGTCACTACTAAGATAGGAAAAATGGCTTTTGAGTGTCAGGATTATGAAAGGAATTAATTGCTGGGGTGAATAAAATGCTTTAATTCTTGCAATGAGTGACAAGGAATTGAGCTCGTATGTGTCTTTTTGGCTGTTTTTAAGGCATTCCTCTTCAAAACCACTGGTTCTAACTTTGTTAGTAGCAGGATATACACTGCTAAAAATAGGATTTAAGCACTTAAAATATAGTTATGTGCATTACAGTTTGGAGCATTTTCTGCCACTTCTAGTTTTCTTCATCACCTTCAGATCTATGGCCAAGTATGTAAAGAAAATCAATAAACGATGGAGGACAGTCAAGTTATAAATTTGGGACAGGAGTGATCTGCTCCTTCAGCCTCCCTTCTTTTAATCAAGTTGTAAGTAGGGGCCAGTTCAAGAACTCAGTTTGCACCACCAGTATTAGCAACACCTGCAGCTGTCCACGAAACCATCGCTATCCAACTGTGTGCATGAAAGTCCAACAAAAGGAGAAAAAGGAGGAGGGAATGGGCGTGTTACTGCCACACGTTTCTAGAACAAGAAACCCAAACCTAGCACCTGATTGATCACCAGAATTTCTTGGCTCTGCTGCCATGTCACATACCGCAATTCCAATGTATGGTCAGATGTAGGAGTCAGCTCTGAGCAATACCACGATACCATGTAGAAGTAAGAGATGCACTGTACCTTTCGAGCTTGAACCAGCAGAACATCGCAGCTCCATCGCGTTTGTGCTCTGGGACTGAGCACGATCGCTGCTTCGCAGGCTGAGCCGCCCCGGGGAGCGGGGTGGGGCTCCACGCCGCGCCGGGCACCTCCCCGTGCCGGGGGGCAACCTCCCAGCTGGGCTCACCCACCGGAGCACCGCCGACCTGCACAACCCCCTGCCAATGCTCAGACAGTGCACAGGAGCCTTACTGGGGGGGGAGGGGGGTGTTTTTGTTTTTTTTTTGTTTTTTTTTGTTTTTTTTTTAACAGAGAAGGGATTACAGGTACTGGTCAGCTTTAGAGATGAGAAGGAACCAGTTGTAGTTCCATATTCTAAATTACATTTGTGAAAAGAGATTACAAAACAGTGCATTTCTTGTGCTTTTCTTTAAGTATCAGAAGTCAACAGAAAAATTTCAAGGAGCTAAATTCTCAGTACATTTTTCATTTTTTTTTTGGATTAGCATTTATCTGTTCAGGACACACACAGCTCATTCATGTCCACCATATTTCAGCAGCATCCCAATTCTTCAACACAAAGTCAATGGTTAGGAAAAAGAAAAAAAAAGTACTGAGTTATGAAATAAGATCGATATCCAGTGTCCTGCTAATAAAGTCATATTTTAATATAAAATATTCATACAGCATACTCTACACCTCATTCTCTCTGCTAGCTGAATACTGTTACTGACTATTCAAACAGAAAAACTTCAACCACTTTGCTCTTCAATGTTTTGGAGGGACAATATGGTTTCCAGCAGCTACTCTGATCACAGTAGTGGGGGAAAAGGAAAGAGGGAAAGACGGGGTAAATGTTCCAAAACTCTCTATTAGGTTACGAAGTCGGCTGAAAGAGGGGAAGTTTTTCAGAATGTAAGGACTGATCCCACTCAGTGGAACATGAAACACCACGCTCATTAGTGTTTCCATTAGAAAGTTCTCCTTCCTACACTGCAAGTCACCCTTGTGCTCTCTTCCTGCCCAGTACAAAACCTTCTTCCCCTCTAGAAACAAAACTTAGTCAATGCTCCCCTCTGTTGTCTTCTGCTCTTTCGGTTAGAGTTAAATAATAATTAATGTTGCTATAAAGATGAGTTAAAAACCCCAAATGCAGCCTTGGAGCCCGCTCATCAGGATGTCATGTTTCAGGAAGCTGATTAATGTCCGTCAGTTTTGTGTCATTCAGGATTGCACGGATTCTCTCCAGGGAATCTGCCTGCCGGATCCGCTCCAGCTGCACCTACAGAAAACCAACAGACGCCATTGAGCCAGTAAAGCGTGCTGATGCCAGAACACAGACCCCTAACCAGAACGTCATCAACCCCTAGTACTTGTGCAAGCACGAGGGACATCAAACTGTCGTCGGCTGCAAAATGCAAGGTGTGACGGAGCACAAGCTTAATTTCCAACCAAGAATGGGAGGCAGGAAGATGTAAGGTAGTTGTGGTTTTAAACTAAAAAGCCCCTTTCGGGGGTTGGGGGCTCAAGCAAGCCTTCGTCCTTGCTCTGTGTTTTGCCTAATTACCAGTCGCTGACACCGTACCAGCCAAACTGGAGGAGAAGTGCAAAGCAATGTCAGCTTTCACAGAAAGGATGTAAAGGGAGTGCAGACCTGCCTGACACACGCCTTCAAGCCTCGCCAGATCAAAGCTAAAACGCCTCTGGAGGAAACGCCCCATTTCCAAGCTCACTCCTGGTACTTGCTTTTCCAATAATCTATCTTAAGCTACTTCTCATATGCTGACAAAGTGCCCAGCAGAACTGTGTTGAAATGAGTACAAGAGAGATGACTTGTTTTTTTTTTTTTTTTTTTTTTTTTTTTGTTTTTTTTTTTTTTTTTTTTTTATTTCATTCAAACTTTCACATTCTTTGCATTAAGATCTGGGCTTTCAGTTGTAAATTCCCAACTAGTGATTAAATGATTTTTAGCCCTTCTTCTCCATTGCTGATACCTAATTTGGGCAGTGGACACCTCATACAAGGGATACTCGCCCAGGCTCTCCACTGACGAGGTCAGGGAAGGAAATAACCCTGCCTGGCTAACAAGAAACCATAATCCTCATCGGATGGTAATCTCTCACGTTACACAGCAGATCTTGTACTACGTACGGTGGAGATAGCACAAACCATTGTTTAAACTGAAAACACCAACTGCTGAGAAACTGATGTGTAATAACTGCCTAGGGGCAGAAAGAAAACACAAAATACAGAGCTACACCACCGGCCGAGCTCATCACTGAAGGCCTGTTACCTGCAAGTAACCAGGCCTGAACACCTGCAAGTTCTGGAAGAGCGCACCACGCACCTTCAAAGCGGTGTATATGTTTTTGCTCTAAGAACTGCATAAACCAGTACATGCAGTACTTTTAAAAAGAAAGAAAGAGAGGATGATGACAAGCAAGAACCAACTTCACTAGCAGGATAATTCAATAGTCTCCTTTGTCCTACCTAGTCCTCCAGAAACAGCCAGAACAGAAGAGGACAATTCCCTATTGTCCATCCAGCTAAAGTCTGTCTAGTAAACAGTCTCCTATTTTGTTTTAGTTCTCCAAATAAACCTGACAAATCAACTCCAAAAATTTGTGGGTTTAATTCTGTTGAATTTCACCAAGTAGACTGGCCAAGGGCTCAAAGAAAACAGTGCTGAGATTCAGTACCTCCTTTGTGAGCAATACTTCTAGTAAGCTGGAATGTGAAGGGGAGTGCAAATTCTAAAACCACAGGCACTAGAGGTGAGACCAATCTAGCCTGGCTTCTCGAGGAGATAGTCAGTCACTCTGCAAACACAAAACCCGCAGGTCCCTTTGTGCTCTCTACAGTGAACAGAGAGATCAGCCTGACAAACTGGAATGAGCCTTGATGAACGCCCCTGCCAAAACTTCTTCCTTCAGCCACCTCTTGGTATCCCATCACCAACCACAGGTGCCACTTTTTGGAGGAAATACAAGGATAGCAGTGACAACAGTGATGATAAGATTTTTAGATAGTATAAATAGAAAGCAGTAAATATAACAAGAAAGACCATTTCATATATTCACATCAAACAATACAAGTTCCTGACTTTATCCTCAAATATTTGCACCCTAATGATTTGCTATGAGAAGTAAAGTACTGGAAAAACAACAGGAGATGGACAACGAAATACTAGGGTCTGAAGGCACCATAATTTATGGCTCTCTACACTTCTGCTTATCACAGTAATTGTGTACCTTTGTTGCTGAGAATTGGTTGAAATCAAGCGATCAGATTAAAATCCCAGATAGACTTTAATGCTAATCTTATACTAGGAATATTTGGTTCATTTATGATACTAATAACTTTAAAAATAGATCATGAATATCAACATAAGAAAATTTACAGCTGCCACTTACTATTTTACACAGCTCTGGAGAAGTAAAGTAACAAAAGTAGCACCTTACAAACTGATTACACTTCCCTTACCTGAAGTGTCTGAGAAAGCTTCACAAAATCTCTCTGTACTTGCTCACTGACATCTAATTCAGTCTGCAACCGCTGAGCTTTATTCTTCTCTTCAAATACCAGCTGTTCAAGGTTTGCCTGAAGAGAAAAAGATTCTTTATGCTATGCTTAAACTGAGTGAAAAAGGTTAAAGCATGATACTAGAGCAAGGAAACATGGTTATTCTCAGAGTCCTAGCAAGAAATTAAACCAATTACTCTTTCTACACCCGATTTTCCTAACTGGGAAATCAGGGGCTAATATCCATGAGACAAACACCTTCATGAGATCGGTTGAAGCATGAAAAAGCCACATGTCTTAACAGCACTATGTCCAAGAATCTCAAAATAAAAAAGCAGATTTCTGAGTTTTAATGAAACATGACCACAGTTGAAGGGTGATAACTGCCGCTGAAAAGGATGTAACTATGTTGCTGTCTCAAGTTTTAGTCAAAAAAATCTCAGATCACAACTAATTCATCTGACTGCCAAAACAGGGCTCCTTCCTACAGCAACAATAAAACATTTATTCAGAAGTATCAAAGCATTCAAATCGAGGTTTGGAAGGTCAAGAAGCTTTCTGTACGCAGAAATGTTGCTGAAGACTAATTCCGGAAGACAATCCAAAAGAGGTATTCAAATTAGCAGCAATTCACATCCATTACTTTACAAATCCAAGTGCAAAGTAATTGGGATGATGATTTCAACCACATCCAGTGGACACTGTTTCACTGACAGAATCTTATCAACAACCAAAAGCTTCCTTTTTCATTCTTACATAGTGACACATTCTCTGACCACACTCTGATCATCACAGAAGATGCACATATACTTCATACGCAGACATCGTAGCTACCTTTGCTGCTGTCTCCTTCTTCAGCTGTTCTTCTAGAGTGTTTTTTGCTTCCTGCAGACTCTCCAGCTGCTGCAGGTTTTCCTGTGAAGAACTTTCCAACTATATTATAATAATAAAAAAAATATTAACTAAACCTCCTAACACTTCAATTTCTCACAGACCCTGCATAAAGGACATATAGCCTAGGGACTTAGGAATACAGCTAAATAATTTCTCCCTTTTCTTCCATTTCTTTCTTTTTGGAGCTGGAAAGAAATGTCCAGTCTTGACATTTAGGTTATTACTGGGTAGCCTGTTGTTAGTTAGGAATTAGTTAACCCAAAATTTAGGTTACAGATTAATAAACAGACAAAATACCTTTTAAGGAACAGAACTATGAACATGTACCAGTCCTACACTGGCATCAGTACAGCTATTCTGCCCTTCGAGGTTCCAGGCATGACCTTATGCATTTCCTATGCAGGGTCACAGAAGCTACAGAGGTGCACCTACACTCTTAGTTGATACGAAGAGTTGCAGTAGACTGAGAGTGTCCAGCACAGTGTCAGTGCCTTCAGTAAGTAAATTTGTGCAAATGCAGAGACTGGTGTTCCTTCTTACAGAAAGGAAAGGTCATCTACACAAATAAGCCAGCCCTCCAGCATCCCACAGGCACGCCGAGATGAAGGAACAATAATGTTGCATGTTTCAGAATTCTCTCCTTAGTTCAGCTCTTTTCCCCTCCCAATACTGGGCATACTAACCATCATACAGAAGTATATCTAAAGTGTTACTGACACCTCAAAGGCAGATGGGAAAAAACATTCATCTTCTCTGATATGAAGAGGTTGATGTCAAGGACAGCAACAGTGTCACTGATAGAACTAGCGGAAAAAGAGAATCCTGTTCTCTGTTTTTTTTAAAAAAACCCAAAACCAAACATCCCGCAATGGAAGGGCTCCTCACCTGTTCCTTTTCCAATTTTATTCTTTCCAGTTCAGCTTTTAAATTGGAAATGGAAGCTGAAAAGCAAGAATATTGAAGCTTAAATGCAAGAAAAACAGGGTATGTCCAGTTGCCTGTGTTTATATTTGTTAATATCTCAAGGAGAATTAAGCACATGCTACATCAAGGGTATCTCAAAAGTAAACAAATAATTGTACTTTTGTTTTCAGCTGCACAGCTTTGCTGTATCTGCTATCAAAATCAGACAGTATTTGAAATTCACAAAAGTCTACTTACCACAAAATGAGATCTTCACTTATCTTACTAAATTTCTAGTATTCCTATTTTGAGAATGTTTTACCGCTGCTCACCTATTTCTTCTTTGCAATTCTCTATTTCCAGCTGCAGAGTTTCCTCTATATTTTCTTTCAAATATTGTTCAGCTTGAATCTGTTCTTTTAAGAATAAAATCTCCGCCTTAAGTTTCTCTTCAAGGTGATCTGCTGCTGTCCGCACACCAATTATGTCTTCACGATATTTTAAAATCAGCTCACGGAGCTCCTGAATCAATGATTAGCAAGAATTTGTATTATGATCTTCAGATACACACAGTACTACATTTATCAGCACACCAGCCAAAGACAAAGTTATGCTACCCCAAGGCTTGTCCCACCATACCAGATCTTGCATCCAGCAAGGGATTTAAGCAAAATTGCAAACTGCTTGCTTGGCCATAGTAAACGAAGAACGTGTAAAGATTCAGGTCCCCACAGGCTTATGACCCTCTCCTCCCCCTGCCCTTCACCCCCTACAATCTTTTAAGCTTGACATGCTTGAGCATAAGGGAGTGGCCGTGAAAAGGATGACAAGGCTTATCGTTATTCAAAGCTCAGGATTATTCCTGATCTTAATGTCTGGACAGAAATTAAAGTGACTGATTTATCTTAACTTACTGAATCAATATCTACATTGGAGCCATGGTGACTGAATACTTGTGTGCCCAGTTGCAAAATACAGTTTAAACTAGCCAAACTGGGATAAACCCACACTCTGCTGACAATAGAGCAGATGTCATGCCCTAGTTAACTCATTTTATTATGATCTATCCATACCCTGAAGCACGCTCATGGCACAGTGGGATCAGACTGCTGATTTTGTACCTCACAGATTTACAGGGTTAAAATCCAGATTACTGTTCGTTGTGCTATTCGAGTCAGCTTTTTGATAAAGAAGATTCTTCCAGTGAGATCTAGTCATGTGCATTATTTGTGTTAATGATTTAAGAAATGTTTTACCTCTGCTGCTTCTGGTAGAATGAAATCTTCAGCTTGCTGTAAAGACACATGCAAGCTATGTTTTCCTTGAAGACTTTCATTATCTTTTTGCAGTCTCACCAACTCTTCTGAAACCTGCTCCCTTGACTGTGTGAGGACAGCCTCCAATGAAAAGAAAAGCATAAATTCTCACTTAGGGTTGTGCTCAGATCTCATCATGCCTCATTTACTATCACTGCTTTCAAAAGTCTGGTGAATTGATATTCTTTGTAAAGAAGGGAAACAAAATGATTGTGTGAGGCAACATGATCGGTTCTCTCTTGCCTGGCCTATGCACCAGAAATAAAGGCAAGATCAATCTTAACTGTACAGGCAAATAGGTGGAAGCAAGTAATAAATACAGCACTGCCAAGTCTCCCAGTTTTCTTTCGTATTTATCCATTAGCTAGCTGTGCTCATGGAGGAGGGGCAGGAGGGAAATCACATGTGGTTTTGGGAGCTGGCAGTGATGTTTATTAAAATCACGTAACAGCTCAGCTGTAATATCAGGTTATTCAAAAACCTTAAACATTCATCCTGAAACTTTCAATGCTAAGTGTCTGCCTCCCACTGTCTTTTGGGGAAGACATCAAAACAGCTGATCCCTTGTAAAGAAAAAGGATTAAGAAAATACGGTTTTGCTTGCATTACAAAAGAAAAATTCAGCAAACTTTTCCGAGAGGAATGGTTGCTTCAGTATTGGGAAACAGGGACTTGAACTCTGGCAGAAGCTGCCCTTTGTATTTTAGGTGGACAGCATGAAAAGCTTATTCAGACCAATACATTTTCCGAATCTCCTGCATGTCCATTAGGCGTGCTCTCACGCAGAACATCAAACAGAACATCTCTACAAGCAATGTTCTCATGCCCTACAGACAATCTCAGAGCCCAGAAATGCAATACTGGGACTCATGAGAACGAATGCTCTTAGTCTCCACAATGCTGCGTGAGGGGGGTAAAAAAGAAGAAATATGATTCTTATACAGAAGAGAATTAATTGTTCTAAGGAAGTTAGACTTTGTTTTGTCCTAGAAAATGAGGTCCTATTCTTATTCTCTGGCTTAATTCCTATAAGATGCTCAAAATAGTTTTAAAAAAAGTAAGTTCCCATACATATCTTTCTGGGTGTTAGGGTTGACATTTTAAGTCTGACCTGCAAAACCGTTGAACACTCATCTCTAAAACTCAAGAAATTATTCGCTAGTGATGATGCTTGAGAATCCTAAAAAATTGTCTTGAGAATCTACTCTGTCTTCAGATCTGAGGTGAAGTAAGATACTAAATGAGCACAGAATGTACATAAGGGGAAAAAGAAGTTGACTAGTGATGTCCATATTAATTAATATGCATACTCACAAAAAGTATGACAGACTGACTCTACAAACTGTTGCAGGTTCAGCACTTGCTATCAGAGATCAGTATCTTTACACGTTAAGATGCACAGCTCTCTCTAGCCAAGCTTGGCTGGGCAGCGAGACAGTCTTTTACAAACACATTGAGCTCCAAAGGTTAGACAAACAGCGCTGTTCAAGAGATCTCTGGGCTTAAGCTGTCTTACCATTTGCTCCTGGACGCTCCTCTTTGCTTGCGAAAACGCCTGCTGTAGTTCACTGAGGAAGTTCTCCGACTTTTGACATTTAGCCATAAGCAAAGAGATCTTAAAAAAATGAAAATCCACACAGAGAAAGATTTTGAAGAAGAAATAACCATTTAAGTTCTCTTGACTGTTATCATTGGTAATACATTCTTTGAAATGTTAAATCATTCCACTGAAGTTTACTTTGTTACTTCCTTACTCAATAAAACAGTAATACAGCTCAAGTCAGTAAGAAGAGATGCTGTGCTTCTATACCAGTAATATACTTATATCCTATTTACCAAACTCTAAAAAACCAAATAAACAGTTAATTCTAATCAAACTCGAAGGTAAGCCAGTTCAGAGAGACTGAAGGGAAACTGTAGAGCTACTAAAGTTTTCAGCATTTTATTTAAGGTAATATTTGTACCTTTCTCTGAAAGCACAGATCTTCAAAACTTTACAATTAAGTTATTCTACAACAACACATGCTTAACAGCAAGATTAAGCATTATTTAATGAAGAGCAGCCCAGTACAGCCAAAAGAACAAATATATAAACATATTCCTGTCATCTAAGATAGACTTTGTCTAATGACTACTGTTTCCTTAGTAAGAAATACCCCACAGGGTGGGATGGAAGAGAGAAAGTCTTCCAGCTCAAGTGAAGTAAATTCAGGGTCATGTGCATTTACTTAATATTGTAATCTTTAATAGGCCAAAGATGAGGACTTAAAAGAAAAAAAAAAGTTTTCTTTTTAAAAAAAAGCTATGATTACCACACATCCAATTTGGCTCTGTTGTTCCAGAAGAGTTATGGACACATCTCAGACTGAAAAATCTTTTCAGCAGGCTACAATTTTCAAGTAGGCTAGTGCGTATTTGGACCAACTACTGTTACTGCCTGCTCAGCTACTCATTAAGTGCATGTCTTCACCACAAGTCCATTAACTGGGTGTCCAGTGTTGACCAGAGCAAGTGGTATGAACAGTACCACTCTTCTACCGACAGGGACAGTGACCAAGAACACTGGGCTACTTTTGTATGTTTGAGTGATTTCATACACAGGTCACTTAAACTCAAAAACTACTCAAATTACAATAATCACCTCTAATGATTTCAAGATTAGAGATGTAACTTTAGGGCCAAAATTGGATAACATGATACTGGAGACATGTCAGACTTCTCTAGAAACTGTGGCAGACTTTGCTGGAGCATAACTAACCCTAGAAATTCTCATTTTTGTTGCCTCTACAGCAGGTAGTCCATCCACATCTACCAGAAGACAAGTTCTTGTTACATGCTTTTGAATAATATTTCATGATTCCTACCACCTTGGTTACAAAATGCTTGTACCTGGTTAGAGGAGTCTTCAGCACTTTGTTTCATGTAATCCTCTAACTCCTGTTTATCTTTCATTGTCTTTTCCAGCTGGTCATTAGCCTGCCTCAGCATCACCTGCAGCTTTTTCACCTGTGTTGTTACAACAAAATAATTTAATTTTCCATTCTTTTGGTGAACATAACCTACCCGATCACACTCCCAAACCACAAAACAAAATCCCTCTGCAACCCAGAAGCTCCTTTGTTGTATGCCTGAGGCAGCCTGCATCACAGTTACACCTATAGGGAAATATGGGAAATCAAACTGCACTGGACCATCGCTATGTAATGACTTATTCCAAAGCAGAATGTGACTCATGCCTTCCATACTCATCTGAAAATTGTTCTTCAGTATATGGCAGGAAACAAGCATCCTCCAATACTTTACAGTCATTTTATACTGCTAGGATGAGGTTCTCTAATTTTTCCTTTGCTGTTAACAATTCTCATAGTATCAAAGATAATAGAATTTAATGCACGACAAGCATTTTAGAATATAAATTATGAAAGATACTGACTTCAGCATGAGCACAACACTTTTTATAGAACAGTGCCTTTCCTGCATGGTCTTATAGCACTGGACATAGTGGTTCTCCAAGGTGAATCCTTAAGAAATATATACACATGGTGCTCATGACCACACACCACTAACAAATTAGGTTACGTGAACCAAATGTCAGAAGTCATCCAGATTTTAAGTATGTTGACATTGTTCAATTAAAACAAATAAATCAAACAGCAGATGGCTCATTGTTCATCCTTCATAGTTTGAATAGCTACAAAAATCTTGCTAAAGCTAGAAGAGAAATCCCACCTGGTCTCTTGTCTCAGCCTCCTGAATCTGGATACCTTGCAACTGCTTCTCATAATTCGAGCACATATCACAGCGTCTACCCAGCTTGTTCCCTGCATTCTGCACCTGGAGAACACAGAGTTATCACCTGCCATAAAGGCCATAAAATTCTTCAAGGAATGCAGGAGTGCTACATACCCTCTGGTGTGTTGTGTGGTCATAAAATATTACAGATAAAAGACAGTTGCAGAATCACGTAATGACAAGATTAAATTGCTCTAAAAGTAAAGGGTAATGTAAATCAGCTGCAGGAGATCAGCTTTTCCTGGCATGAGTCCCACTATTAGCACAAAAGCAATAAGCCATGACATGCAAGAGTTCATCAAGTCATTCAGTGTGTTATTTTGAAATATATGACTTAGTTACCTGTACAGAAACAGACAATCTCAGAAAAGTTTTCAACAGGCCACAGTATTTTTTCATGAAATTATTTTTGTATTACAAATCACATTATAAACACAATACTACAGCGTTTGGGTATGGGGGGGGGGTTGTGTGTTTTGTTTCGGGTGGTTTGTTTTTTGGTTGAGTTTTTTGTGTTAATTTTTTTAAATCAACACAGAGCAATTAAAAAGCAAGTCAGTTCATCAGGTCAGGACTTCCTTAAATCTTTTTCCTCCTGTAACTGAGCTTTGAATATTTCTCAATGGCATATACTAATTTTGTTCTACAACAGTCATCAAGCTTTATTTACTTTTTAATACACTCCTCCAGTATTGCTCAGTATCAGAGACTGAATAATCAGCTAAAAGAACAACTGGGAAAGAATGAAGTAGGCAGATTAAAAAAAAAAAAAAAAAAAAGAAAAACCAAACAGGAGAAGGGGAAAAAAAAAAAAAAAAGGTGTTGGAGTGTGCAGCCACAAAACAGAGTAAACCAGCTGCCATTTTGAAATCATAAAAGTCTTGGCCAAGGGGACAAAAGGAAGTTTTACTAATGCCCAAGCTGCAAGTCAGGTTTGAGCTGAAATCATATTTGTATTTGCTGCTCTATGTCCCACCCACCCAGAGTGGCATTCACATACCCTGCCTGCGCTCCTGCCTCCAGAAAGACGTGGGAAGCTGTGCATTTCTTTTCTGAATTCTAAGAAAGGGTTGGAGTAAAGTGTCATCGAAATGTCAACAGGGCAAGGAAATACTGAAGAGTAGAGGATTTAACTCGTCTCTGAGATCACCGTGCTGTAATTTCTCCAGATATTACACATTAGCGACAATACAAAAAAAAGGCAACTTTACTATGGGTTTGGAGAGACCTCCTAAGTAATGATTTGCAGATAAGTTGAATTCCAACAAGCTGAGGGAATAAAATATCACTAGTTCTTCATTCCATCTGTCCCTTGCTTGGCCTCTTCTCTTTCACTGCATTCTTACATTCCTTTTTTTTTTTTTTTTTACCCCCCATCTTGTCTTCCTTTTCAACCATTATGGATTGTTATCTCCCCCCCGCCTTTTCTTCCCCATAAAGTGTTGCTCCTTGGCCTCTCTTCTTCTGAAAGACTAATCACATGAGCCCCACAATGCTCCTCTTTTCAGCAAGAAACCAAATGCAAGCTTTGAAGTGGCATCATATAAAGCTCCTAAAAAACTGACAGGCAGAACACCCAGAAGCAACAATTTCCTTGCTCACCCATACTGAAACTGGCACAGTGTTAAATCTAATCTGCTGCTTGTTGCTCTCAGGAATTGGCTTCTGATGATGCAAGTTCCCAACAATTTTCTGAAGCGTCCTTTGTGGTAGCTTTGTGTGCTATGCATATCTTGGCTGCTCATTTCTAAATTGCATTCCATGAACAATCCTCAGTAAAACTCCTTGGTGTACATAACAGCAGTTAGCTCTGTTCCTTTTGTTAATCTTTGCGTTTTCCAAGTCACCCCCAGTTGCACTCTAAAGTCCTTTCCTCAGTCTTCCATTTTCATTTTTTTCTTTGAGTTCTCCCATCTTTTTTCATCCCCTCACATATTTGTGAAATCAGCCGCCACCTCTGCCAGACCCTCTCCTAAGTGCAAAAATATCCTGTATTTAGTAAAGCTGACTTTCCCACGAACAGGGTGAACCAGTACAGTTTACATCAGATATGCTTTACCTACAGAAGTATTTCAAGGGAGAAAATTGAATAGCTACGTAAGATGCTACCTACTTCCTTCTGCACCTGACTCAGTGTAAAGCAAATTAGGAAGAGATTTCACCTAGTAGACAGCCCACACCCGAGGCAGCCCTGCCACGCAGGCAGCGGTCAGAGCAGATGCTGCAGTGGGTACTCACCTCCTTCTGCAGTAGGTTCCACTCCGTCTCGCTAACCAAGCGGTAACCGCTAGGAGACACATAAGCGCTTTCTACCCCTTGTGTAACACTGGAAAGAAGTGAAGCAGTCTCTTCTTGCTCTGGTGTCATTGCTTTGATTGCTTTTTCTTGATCTTTGGTTAACATGAACCCACTCGGCATTTGCAGAGACCCAAGGGAAGCTGTATCAAAGTTCTCAGACACTGAATCTGCTCCAACAAGTGGTCCAAAATCTGACTCGTCCAGGTTCCCAGCAGATTTTGCTTTGTTGTTGTATCCTAAAGCTTTGGACTGTAACGATCCAGATGTCCCCAGACTATCTGTTGACTGTGCTCTCCGTAGTCCCTCTTTAAACATATCATTATCCGATTTATTGAAAGATTCGCCAGAAGAAAGCAGCAAGTCTGCATCCAATGAATGGACTGAGCCATGGGCGCTATTTACATGCACCTGGAATTGAAAAACAAGGAAGAAAAAAATTACATACTCCATTCGAGAAGCATGGTAGAAGAGGAATGCTGGACACTAATTATCAGACATGGTAAAGGGAAATTTAAATTGGCTTTGACAAGAACATCTGGTCACTAAGCTTAAGATGACAGAGAACTGAAATGTACCAGTTAGACCTAAAGAACAGAACAAACAAGTAAAACCAAAAAAAGAGTCTTCTGTTAACAGAGTGCTTTTATAAGAATCTGTCTTCCTGCTGGACAAGCAAGGACACAGTCACCTCACATCTTCCAGTATTTCAATCAAGGTGCTTCTACCACTGAAGAGATAGAGTTGCAGCATCACTTCTAGAACTAAAATCTACACAACAGAAGGCAAATGCTCCACTTTCACAAGTAAATTCAGAAGTCTTTCGTAAAACGAAAAACTTTACATTAACATAAAAATAAATGGAGAATGATATACTTAAAATCTACTCTATACTAACAAGTGGATATTCTTCTGTTTCTTCCTTCTGCTTTGAGTGTCTGACAAAACACTGTAAGAGAAAGAAATATTTTCTTTAAGAGATTATTTGTTCATAAAATGAAAAGGGAAAAGGCTGGGCTTAAACAGAAATGTATCCTGGGGAATACCAATACCAAAAGCCACACTAACTGTCCTGTGACATATGTAAGGCACTTGATATATTTTTATTTATTTGTAGCACTGAAAAGAGAGCAGTAATGCTTTATTTGAAAAGCATCTGAGTGCTTTCAAAATACTTTCCAATATATTATGCACTTCTGCTTTGCCATTAGGCATTTCAAGAAAATAACACTGAAAACAAGCCTCTTAAGAAAAATAATTATTTATGAAATAGGTCCAGCAGAGACTAGCAGGCAGCTGGTACTTCCACAGAGATGTTTGTAACTTGTAACTACATATTATGTACTACTGTTTTTATGACTGTTGTAAATGCCTTGCTTTAATCATTTTTAAGCGTAATATTTATAATTACCTGTATATATATGAGCTCAAGTTCATAACAAAAAGGTCAAGAGACTACAGACATACAAAATTGCATCTTCAGACAACAACTGTTTGGTGATACAGTTTCCAAATCATTTTGTTTGTATTGCAAACTACTCAGCAGAGAAGAGCTCAGAAGTCAAATCATGAGAAGTTGTAAGATGACCAATAATGTGATTCATTACCACTTGAAAACACATTCTACACAGGTAAAAAAGGCCACAGATAGCAATAAAACCAAATCCATAAGCAAAACCAAAACCACTCTGGAATCTATGCCCTTTCTCAAAATATAAAAGTTTCCATTATGTATAATTCCTAGAATTAAAATAAATGTTGTGATTAAGGAATGAAAGAGTATTCTAGGAACTGAGATTAAAGAACACATCAGAAGATAATACTTTTGTTCACCAACAATATGTCTCATTTGCATATCTGGATACAGAAGTGTTACAATACAACACTACTTGAAATAGAAAGTTGGATCTTTACTGTAGGATAAACTGTAGAACTAGATCTTAGCTACATTTAGATGTTATGATTCCGAACATCTTTCTGCATTCTGAATTGTTATAAATCATTGACAAAAATAAAGGGCAGATGCTATAAAGAAGTATATACTTTTTTCCCTTCAAAAAAGATAAATAAACCAGGCGAAATGCTGGCTCACACTGCAAATTTTCAAGTGTCTTGAAGCTTACATAAGCTTCTATAGCACAAAGCCTGGTTTGTTTTTATTAATTTGTCCCTATTTTGATTTATAAAACCAAAATGGGCCCGTCAGATGACCAGATTAACAGGCAAACTGCCGATTTTTATATTGTTTCCAAGTTCCAACCTGTGTGTTCATTGGACTCGTTTCTTCAGAAGTGAAAAGCTTAGGCAAATTTTAAATGCAATTTCAGCTTGTCCTAGTGTATGACTGTTTACAACACCCAAATGGCTTGCTAATGACATCCAGCAGCATCACTTTTTCTGGATGTTATAATGGCTTTACTAATATAGCTCAAGCAACTTCCGCAAAAACTTGGTGCTGAGCCCCAGCTACTGGCTTGCCTTAAAAAAAAAAAAAAAAAAAAAGCTTATTTTTGGCTGCTAGACAGATGTGGTCAAAAACCTCAGCTCACAGTTGGATGTAGCTTAATACACACAGACATACACATCATACTATTTTGCACATGCTAAGCAACTGGCTAACCTCACAATCAATGATCTCAGGCTTGTCTAACCAGTTAGGTTTAGTACAGAATTCAACAAGTAGGTTAGCAAAGTGGCTACAATACCTTTGCTGAATGTTCACATATAACTGGTTTAATTCTGAACATTTAGTTGTGTTAGAACATGGTTATAAATCCCAAGAGCATTTAACAGCAGTTACCATCCAGAAAGCAAAATGTAAATTACAGTTTTTAATAGCACCTCTCAGGATTGTAAAGTACTGTCTTACAATCTTTATTAGAATTTATATATTCAAATGCAACTCCAAAGATTTTTCATTGCTTAAGAATTACAAGCTACAGAGAATAATGGGCACTAAGTTTGCATTTGTATTTATAATCAACACCCTGAGGTGCTCAAAGTCACTTTGGACAATCCAATTGTTTTACCTCTTCATTAGAGAGCTGGGTAAGGGTTTCCTCATGGGCTACAGAACAAGCAGCTTTCGTATCATCATCTGAATCTTTCTGCTTCTGCTCCTTTCTCTTGCTAAGCCTCTGCTGATCATCTTCTTCCTAGGAAACAGTGGTTTATAGAGAACTTCATATAAGCAGGATTCCATTTTGATGTAGCAGTTGTAACATTAGCTTTTATGATAAACTAAGCTACAAAGGTGACACTGGAAAAGATTATTTTGGTTAAAAACCCAGTATTTATCACATCAGGATTATTTTGGTTAAAAATCTAGTGTTCATTTCACAAGGCACCCAAACTGACTTAAACGAGAACTTACTTTTCAAGTGTCCTAGAATAATTTAATTCAAAGAACTTGTTACCTAGATGAAAATTCTTATTCGAAGGATTACCACATAAGTAACAAAAATAGCTGCTCACTGGCTATTGTATAGAACCTGATAATAGATCTGCATCACTAATGGACTCATTAACAGCCATTATACCATAAAACAAAATGTGAAAACTAGAAGTGCCTTCATCACTCTAAACAATGGAATATAACATATGGAAAAAGAATAAAAAAAAAGACATCATACAATAATACCAAGTCATAAAGCATGTATACAATGACTTGCATAAGCTGATTTAAAACCGAAGCTCTTAATTTATGCCTGGGCTAGGTACTGTATTGGAAAAACCTAGAAAGAAGTGAAACTTGCTATCCTAATATCCTTCACCCAGATTTTTTGCATCGTAGATGGCTGTTTCTTCCTCCGAGATTAATTTCTAGATATTATTATCTTTTCCTTTAACAATATTGACAACTTTACTTTTAAAGTCACTATATACATTAATATTAAAATATTTGCACAAATTGAGAGTTTGTTATAACTGTCAGCTGTCATTCAAATGGAGAATTTCTATTCAAACTGTCAACTATCATTTTTCGAAATATTAATACTTAAATAACTTGTGTCCAACATGTGATTTCCATACCTGCAACACCACATTAAATTAACAGCATTTAAAAAAAAAAAGGCAGAAAGTAACCTGATCCTTTTTTTTCAGTTCTTCAACTTGTCGGAGCTGCTCAGAGGTCAGAACAATTTCCATACGTTGCATGTCCCTCATCAGCAAACGCTGAGACTCCAAGAACTGGTCATTGGCTTTCTGCCATGTGTGTTTCAACTGGTTGTGCTGCTGTCGCTCTTGCTCTAAGAGATGGCAGACTATACAAAAATAGAAAGAGTTGTTCTGAACCAGAATTTTTTTAACCTCTTTTCCAAAGAGAGGCATTTTCATGAATAAAATAATTATTATTCTAATCAAGAACAGTCAGGCTTTGTTCAACAACTATTTAGGATGAAATAAGACATCATCTTAATTCTCAAACTTGGCTTGTGATTAGGGATGTATTACTAACAGTTCAAGATTGCCCAATTAGAAGACTAAAGCATTAACTTCATTCATGAATTCTAATAGTTTATTTCTTTTTTTAGTGCTGGTTTCAAAAGACTGTCTTCTACATCCCTATTTATTTCAACAAAAGGTTCCGGTTTTCATTCCCCTGCAGTGATTCTGCACTGTACTGGCATGCACGTACATTTCCACACCCATTCCACCACCAGGCATTCAGAATTGACACACATCAGGGAGACACATCAATACGTTATGGAAATAATGCTCATAATTGTACACAAATAAAAGACACCAGTAAAATCACTTTAATAGGAAGGATGCTTGCAATACTGTAAAAACTTAGTAAAAATTCAATACCATCCCTCAAGAGGATGAATGGCTCTGTTGTTTTTCTCTGTCATAAAAGAACTCCATGTTCAAGTCTTCTGTAAGTGTTTTAAGGGCTTTCACATTTAGAAGTACTGCTTCATCCCCCCCCAATTTCTTTAAATCCCATTCAAATAAGAAATCAGAAAGGAATTAATAGCTATGTCGTTTTTTTCATCCTTAGCGTAAAATAAATAAAAGTATCATTATTAGATAGGTACCTTCATGCAGTTCTTTCCGCAACTTCTCTGCATCTTCTTGCAGGACTGATTTTTGTGTGTTGAGAACTGCCACGTACATCTCTAAGTCTGTCCTACATGACTTCTCAGCTTCCAAGTAATGGTTCAGTTCTTTAACCTGAATAAAAAGAGGGAAATCTACCATCTCAGTGGGGGAACACTCAGGCACTTCCTTTTTGTTAGAAGTCAGTGTCGCCTGTTCAGGTAACATACAGGTGCTGAAGGACAAGTTTATTTCTAGAAATCACAAATATTCAACTATGAGCATGCAACTAGTACTTGTATTTATGTCTGAATAAATTACTCATTAAAATTCTGTTAAGTCAACCATATCAGTGCATTGCAGTTATGACTGTTGGATCACAGCAGTGGGGCTGAGCACACAGATGGCGAAGGAGCAAGTATTTAAGAAGAGCAGACAATGCAGTAATTCTTTAATCAGCGCTGATAAGCCAACAACTAAGTAGGATACAGAGATGGTTCAAAAAGAAGAGTAGTAATAGTCAGAAAACATGACTATGAGGCAAGCTTGAACTAAACCAGGGATGGTAAGCCTAAGAAGAGAGAAAACTTGGGGACAGACAAAAAAACCAACCCAAACATTCAAACCCATGAAAGACCACTGCAGAAAGAAAGGAAAATCTGTCAGTGAAAAGCAGTTACATCAAAAAAGACTGAAGAAATATACTATGACTTTTTTTCTTCTTTTTTGTTTTTTAAATAGCAAAGCTAACAGAACTGGAATGAACTTCCTGCAGAGACTGTAGAATCTCCAGTGAGAACCTTTTAAGACAGGGTTACATAAACATCTGCCAAACATGATGCTTGTAGAAATGGATCCCATCTTGGAGCGAGAAACAGCTTGAAAGATTTCTTTATGGCATTATTCAGTTTTATTTATGGTTTGCTGAGTCAGGAATCACAGGAATTTTTATTCTAAAGGAAACAAAGCCTTCAGACAATTCCTAACTGGCTCCACAGACATCTTCCTCAACACAGTTGGGGAGCCACAGACACCTACCTACTCAGGGTTCAAGATGGCCCTTCAGCTTTAAATTGCCATTGATGGCTGGGGACAACTTCTCCTGCCCTAGGATACCAAGCCTTCTATCTACTAACCTTTTAGCCCTTGAAATGGAGAAATCTGACTCCATGAGAGTCAAATTTGGGAAGGATGAAACAGGATGGGAGGAGAAAAAAAAAAAAAAAAAAAAAAAGAAAAAAAAAAAAGAGAAACACATTGTTTCACTAATCCAGCTAAATACTCAACACTGAAAACCAAAATGACACGACTCAAGCAGATCTGAGGGATCTCATCATGACCAACAGAAAAGCCAAACATTGCTTATTCTGCATGTCAGCCCTCATAGCTCTCTAGTAATACAAATCACGTAAATAATACCTTGCATTTTTATAGTGCCATAGATTAAAACACTTTAACAACTTCCTAAGTTTGCGCTTAAACATCTCCTTGCTAGAGACAAAATAGTATTTTTTTCCCATTAAGCTAAAAAGGTGACTTGAAATAGTACTATTGGCAATATCAGACAGGGGTAATTAAGCAGAATTGACCGCAGGTAGAAATGAAGGGTCTAAGTTATTTTATTTGGCAAGAATCACCATCTAAAGTGAGACTTCTTTAAAAACAATTCCCCAATAAACTAGAAACATGGATAAAGTGATTATTCTATTTTTTCAATAAATGTGTGCTTGTGTTTTACTCATCCCACAGAATTACATGCTCAGATCTTAGACAACTGACAGAGACACCAATGCAATTTCTGGTCCTGAAACACTATCAATTTTACCCAGGCCTTGCCTGTAATTTTTATAATCAAATTCAGCAGAAAGTTCTAGACTATTCTTAAGAAAGAAAAGATAAAAAAGGGGGGGGGGGGAAGGCATTTTGAGAGCAAGCAAGAAGAGGTTTGCATTTCCTCATCTTCCTCAAATTTATCCCAGCAATGAAAAGGAAGTATTATTTGCATCAAGAGAAAAAGTAGAACTACCTGAAGAACTATTATTCCTACAAACATTTCAATCTCAAAAATTTGACAAAGAATCTACGAAGAAGGAGAACACTCAATCCAGTAAAATTTTTCAGTTAAATGGATTACACTGTTCTCCCATATTTCAGACCAACCTCCAAGCTGGAATAAAAGTGGAGGTGGGGGGAAAGAGAAAGGTTTCCAGAAAGTGGTGAGTATCTATATTTAAAGAAGAATGCAAGTGACTCAGAATACAAGGTATTTATTTGTATGTCTTAATAACATCCACATGGTAAGTTACTTTGCAATTCCAGCCTATTTGGCTTTCAAGATAAAATATTTGTTACAGGAGACAACTTAATTTCTGTATAAAACAGTGCATTAAGTGCAACTATCTCAGTGATGTAGACAATATTTACCCTTCACCGCTGGTGAGAAAATTCAATAGGGGTTCTGACATATCTGGGGAATACAGGAATGCTAGATAAATCACTTACATTGATTTTTTTGGCAACAATGACCAGTATCCCTTTCTATGAATCTGAGGTTTCCTTAAATTTTAGGCACAAAAATTCTGGTGATAGTGCCTCAGTTTTATGCCCATGATTAGAGAATGAAATACAGCAGATGATGGATGGAAGTAGCTTAAAAGAATTCTGCCAAGTGCAAATCTTTCTGTGGCTGTAAGCATGACAATAATCTAAAGGTCAGACTGCTGGAGAGGTGCAAAGCATCTATTTTTCTAGACCTTTTTATTTTTCATTACTAGTAGACCTGAAGCTATGCAATTTAGGCTAAGCACAGATGACACACACACACATACACATGTAACACAACCCTCAAAACAAAAAGATGGGAAAAACACATATACAGGCCAAATAAGTTACTTATGCTACAGGAGAAAAGATGTATTGCACATGATGTTTCACAACACACCTTTTTTTCTCTTAAAAAATTTGACTTTACTTATCTGCATCAAACTAGCATGATGCAAGATATAAATTAGGACACAGTTACAACTCCACCTCACCTTTGATGCTTCTAACTCTTTGATTTTTTCTTCAGCTCCTGTCAGTTTCTCCTTTAGTGCTGCAATCTCTTTCTCCATAGGCATCACAACTGAACGCAGCTTCTCAGCATCTTCTTGGGCCTGAAATTAATACAATAAATTATGAATAACACATTATCATAGTTTTCACCTCAACAGCTTCCATTATCAGAGACATTTGGAGAAAATCTCTACGCCAACAAAAATAGCTGACTAAACTTCCACTTTCAATACTCGTTTTATTGCTATTTATGGAGTTCAGTAGTCATCTCTATGACAACTGGCTGACACTGCTCCATTCACAGCAGGCAGCTAAATTTTAAATCCATGTATGGATTAGGCTATGAATATCTGTTTTTAAAGAGAATGTTAGTTAATCTATCATTCTTGATACTTGAGAGAAAACTCATGGATCGGGCATCTCAAAACAGGTATACTTTTCGGTTATTAAAGGCCTAGCTGCCCTGTAACTAGTTGCCACAGAGCACATATAAAAAAAAAGTGTAACACAAGAACTGTATGGTGAGTTACTGGCCATTCATTTACTTACTCATGAAGTAAAAAGAATCTGCACTGTAATGCATAGTGTACCTTTGTTCTGTTTTGGAAGACCATTTCTCAACTTTAAATTACTACAGCATCAGGTTTTGGTGTTGTTGTACTAAATATTACAAAACTATATAGAGACAATTTATCAAAAACCCCAGAATTTTTCCAAAAAAGTACTTCTGAAAAGATCAAAGCAGGACAACAGAATGAAAAGACTGATATGAGGGGGAAGGGGGGAAGAAAAAAAAAAAAAAAAAAAAAGAAAAAAAAAAAAGGAAGACAAAGAGCCAGGCAAAAATAGCAAGAATTAAAATGAGAAATAGTGTTCTGCATTCAAATTCAGAACTGCACGTGTCAAAGGGTGGCTCTGATATCCCCATTTCTTAAATGCTCTGGCTTTCCTTCAGGGATGCATTAAAATCTTTCCAGGTGAAAGTAACAGCTCCCATAGACTTCACAAGCAGAACACTCAAATATTCGCCGCTGTAAAATTCTTCAGGCCACAAAGAATTTAAGCAACGCAATTTGGGTTGGTTTCATGTATGACATCTCAAAATGCTCAGTTGTTCTCTACCTTTACTGGAAGAACTCAGCAGGGGTGGGAAGGCAGAGAACTGTGTCCCAAAGCTGAAATTTCAAAAGATGACACTTTTCCTAATCTGATCAGTAAAGACAGCTGCTAAAAGATAGCATTAATGTCATGTTTTAAATCTAAACTAGAACACGGGTCTTAGAGGCTACTCATTTGACTTTCACTTTCTGCTAAGCTTATTTACAACTGTATTCTAAACAAGACTTTCAGGAAGAAAAACACACAATATTTTTGACTATTGAAGTTTTCCAAACTTAAAATTAATCGACAAAATAAAATAATATTGCGATACCTGTCAATCATACAAATGCTACCAAACACTTGGGTTCTAAAAAGCTTTAAAGAAAACTCTATAGACAGAAAAAAATAAATTTCTTCATGTTTCATTCACTTCTACATTTTGTCACTGCTAGTTTGCTTGACCAGAGTACAAGTAAAATCCATGAGGAAAGCGAGGGACATGACATGACGCAGTGAATTCAATACCAGGGACATGTGACGGTGTCACACATACGTACACACGCTGTCACCTGCAGCCAGCAACCCAGTCCCATTTTTCAAACAGATGGGAGCAGGAGTGCAACTTCAAAGATTGCTTTCTATTTCATTTACTGTGTCAGTTCTATTCATTTAATGCTACTTGTAGCAGGCTTATATGGACTAAAGATAGCCCAATATTTTTAGGACTGTTGAACAAGCTTTTTCCTAATTACTCATGACAACGGCAGGAATATTCCATCACCAGTCCAACCTCACATGGTTCAACACTGAAGACAGAGCAACAAATGCATCCATGCTGGAACCAACCAGTTCAGAGAAAGTCAGAAAGTTCTCTGAAAGCAAGATCAGGTTGCTGTTCTACAGCAGCCAACTGGAAAGGCAAACCTGTATCAAATTCCACATAAACAGAAAAATTACTCCAGCTTTTACTGCTTGAGTTTTACTGCTAAACAGACCTCAAGTTTGACACTATGGTTGCAACATATTGCAAATGTTTTGGTTTGGTTTTTTGTTTGTTTGTTTGTGTTTGTTGTTGGGTTTTTGTTTTGTTTTGTTTTGTTTTTTAAAAAAAAGGCAGGGGCCTGCGCTGTGGAAGGTTGGGTGGTAAGGATCCATATTAAAGAAAGGTCAGTGTGATATGGAGCTAAACACTCACAATAGCCTGTATCTGCTAACAAAATGAGTGCTGGTCACCGAGTCTGCTTTTGAAGGTAAAGTATAATTACTGAGACTCCCAAATTGAGATTAAAGTCCCCACTCAAACTTTTAATAAAATGAGAATATCTATCCTGTCAAAAAATGCTACGTAGAGATACCGTCACAGTTAACAAGTGGGGCCACAGAATCACATTTCCTGTGTTAAAAGGCATTATTCAAACTCTTCCAGAGGTGTGATCCTTAAAATGGTTATTTCCTTCTAACATTTTGCCAAAGTAACTTGACTGTCAAAGGACCAAGGTTTTACATATTTTCAGCTTTTATTTACATATCACCTATTCAAAAACAAAGCACCCAACCATTTCTGCCCCAGCAAAACCTGCTTCACCCAGCACAGTGCCTAAAGAACACGCTGCAAGGGATCTGCAGAGCGTGAAGATGACTCCACAGAGGGAAAGTGCTCAAAATGAGTCCAAGTCACCCCAGCAGACATTGCATGTGTAGCCTGACAGCCAGCTACAGAAATCCTCAGTGTCCTTTCCCGTTACACCAACCAATGCTTTCAGAAGAACAAAAACCCAGCTGCAGAAATCCCAGACAATACTGTACCTGAATTTGTTCCTTAAAAATAAGACAATTAGAAAACACACAGACACAATTTGAGAATCTCTCTTTAAAGTAGGAGTAAGCCATTTAAAGTTCCTTTAAATCTATTCCATGCTCTTTATCATTACCAACAAAAGCAGCTCATTGTAAGTCAGACTTCATGGCCAAATCTGTCACACAAATCAAATTACTCTCCCCTTCCAATTTCCCCTCTTCTGACTAATAAGCAAACTTGGTAACAGGAGGTTTGTCCTTTCTCGCTCTCTCTATATCCACAATACCTGTTCTGCAGACTTCTGCTACTCAGAGTTTGACACAACCGTGCTAAGAAGAGTCTTTATATTCATCACAGCTTCAACAGCAAACCAGATCCTTTCCTGAATGGGAAATGAGGTCTGAATAAAAAGGGACTAGCCAAATTTTGCCAGTGGGCAAGACTCATCCCCACCAACTCGTTGCCCAGAGGTAGCCCAGTCATTACCAAGCAGAGAGCTTGCATGGAAGTACCTGTTGCTATGGATAGATTGCTTTAGGCATCTGTGATAACCCCCCAAATCTATCTTGTATTACAATGCAATGGGAAGATAGAGATATTATTATAAATCACCAATACGTTTTCCGAAAGATGAATCACTAGATAAGTATGTTCATCATTAGAACAAGGTATTTACCTTTTTTGAGTCAGGAGGGAGATTTATAGAATGCACACAGTTTTCAGCACAGATTTCTTAGAAATTGTTGCTCTATGATAAAAATCACAGAATGCTCAAATTTTCTACAGAGATTTGGCAATTTGCAACCTGAAATATATTTACACGGAAAAACAAAACCAGCTGCTTCCAGACACGTGCATGTGTTCCACCAGACATGCTCCTGACAACAGGATGTTCAAGAATGTCAGATGCCAGGTTTGCAGGCTAGACTTGGATATACCTCTGGTAAAGCAGTCACAATCTAGTAAATGCAGCTCAAAACAGGATGCTTATCAAACCATTACCTGCCTGCTCCAAGCACTCCTAAACCAGGATAAATAACATGCACACTGGAAGCCTGATAGCACACATACCAAAACTGTATGCTCAATCAAATAAACAAACTTTAAATTCAAAGAGATACTTACAGGATTTCAAGCAACAATTTTTATCTATGCACCTCTTTCACGGAAACAAGTATGTAGACAACAAGCAGAATTGTTAGCAATTATGTGGAGACAGTACTAAATTTCATGGCTGCTCTTCGTAGTTTAAAAGAGATTTTATAGCCAAATTGAACATGAATGAACTGAGATATAATACAGTCAAGAGAGCCAAGAAGATTAGCACCCTGGACTGAAAGATACCACTTGCAGTCTGCTCTGTCCATTTTTCTCACCTCATCTCTCACTGAGAATGCTAGACAAAGGCATGGTTTTCTGCTAATTTTAAGAAGTGTGATATATTATATGCTGGTACAGTATTTACTTACAGCCCAGAGAGCAAAATACTTCTTTTAATTTTTACTCCTTTGGTATGTTTGGAGATTCTTCAGAACTGGCCAGAAGATGAAGATATTTTTGAAAAACTCTTTCCAAGTTTATGCCTTAAAATAAAACCATCCTTATAATGAAGCATATAAAGATGGAGGATAAATACAATGTTGTTTGCTGGAAAAGCCATTTTGCATGAGGAATTGATCACAAGTCTTCAAATAGCACATCCCAAGTGATCAAGAAAATTCATCCTTTCGCACTGACTGCTGAGGCATGAATATTCATTATTTTGCTAGCCAAACACAGCTTTTTATGGGCTTGGGATTTGCTCATTTGTTTTAAGGTAAAACTGAATGTCCTCTTCCTAATTTTGATCTAATTCTTAGTCTCCTTGAGGAAAAAACTCACAGGTTTAATGACAAAGAAGATTAAAAAACCCATGCAAAGCAGTTTAAGCAATTATTTCAAGATGTGCTCTGAAGACCAGATTTCCCCCTCCCCCTCCTATTATATAAAGTACATGTTCCTCTGCTTTACAGGCCTGTAAAGCTTTCCAAGCTCATATTAATCAGAGATTAATAAACCAATCACCTTTTCCTTTAGGATCACAAGGGCTATTTATTTCTCTCTTAAAGGAGTTTAGTTGAAAATGCTATTTGTCTGCTATAATAAACTTCTAAATGCTAACTGGCACATTGTAAAGCCACTAAGTTTAGGTGAGCTGTGCTGTCATCCGAGCAACTCGCAACTCCGACTGTTACATCATCAGTACATTCAGATTAAAAACAAAACAAAAAAAAAAACACTGAAGTTTTAGTTATTGGAAAGACTTTCTCAGTTGAGAGAGACTGCTTGCTGAAAATTCTTATTGGCAATGCACTGCTGGGTCTTTTACACTACGCATCTCTACACCTCTGCATCTTCTGGGCTGTTTCTAGAAGACTCACCACACTGATCCAATTTTGAACCTTCCTTGAAGCTTCAACCAAACTCTTTTTTCTCTTAATAGCAGTAAAACCTTCTCTTAAAAACAGTGTGTCTTAAAATTCCAGTGGCAGTAATTCTGTAGTCAGAACATTGGCAAATAAGGTTTACTCTGACTCCTACCTTTATACATCAGGAAGAGCAGTCTCACTGCTACATGAAGAGCAGTCTCACTGAATACCAAACAGCAATTATGCAACCACAACTAGCAATATTCAAGACTTTCTTTGTAAGTCTCAGAAAAAGAATTCTATTTCACAGCACTAATACTGATTGCTTGCTACAACATATTAAAATAGGTAGAATATTTCTTATGTGGAATGTTTGTGATATTTAATACTGCTTTTCTTCTGCTGGCAGAAAGCAGAAACAAGGAAGTGATGTGGAAGATTATCAGATATTAGTCTGCTCCTTTATTGAATATAGGATCATTTATTACATTAAAATTGTCTCAGAATACCTTGAAGACTACTGTAAGCCTGCTGAGAAGACAAATTCACTTAAATGCAAGTTTTTACAATATGATAAACAAAGATTCCACAACATTGATCTATTATGACAGGTTCAATTTCCTTCCTGCCTGAAAGAGAAATACACATCTTCAAACTCAACAAAAAAAAGAAATCTGAACTCAATACAAGGTACTTCGATCTACTTCTATGAACTCTTCTAAGTCACAGATCTTTGAACAACAACAACAAATCTTTCTAAACTCCAGGGCAATTATCTTTCATCATCTAGAGCCTGTTGTTTTGTGACAGCAAGGTTCTGTAGCCCCTTGGAAGCCAGCAGCACTGTGTGGCACAAACATGGCTTACCTTAAAGAAAGATGAAAGATATTTCAGATACAGTGCCCATTAAAAACCTCAGAAGTTTATAAGATCTGAGAAAAGGCATAAAGGTGCAGAAGTGTAAAGGAAATTTTATAAATCTGTAGTCAATCCAGAAAAATCTAAAGGGGGTTTTACTTGAGTTCATTTGACATTATGACAAGAGACTTTACAAGGCCTCCTACTTTTACAAGCTGAAGGCCAAACCTACCATCTTCTCAGGTGCAATTCTCTTACTGAATCCACATAATCAGGTACAATATCTTTGTGGATTCAAATGCACTTTAAGGTCATGATGACTTACATGAACAAAGAGCTGAAGGTTTGCAGAACGAGGCTATGTGTATTTCTGTGGAATTACAGCAGGCCATAGAAATGAACTCATGCACAACACCACAAGCGTATCTTGAAACAGAAACTGATGAACTGGATTTCAACGTACCTTTTTCATTTCATTTTCTAGGTTTTCTTCCTCTTGACCTTCAGACAGTCGCCTTCTTAACTCTGCTATTTCCCGTTCCACATTTTCTCGATATTGATTCCACTGAGCTCGCTCTTGCTCCATCCTGTGATGATACTGGAGCTCATAGTCACGAACAGTCTCTATAAAGCAGCATTTGCAAAACTTATTTTCAATGTAAGTTAAAAAACAGGGCTTTAGGAACGCCTATCTCCAACCAGTCAACGACTTACCACAATTGATCAAAACCAGGACAACAGTGAACTCTCCCTTCCCTTTGACTCTTGCCCCAAAACCCAACTACATAAACAAAAGATTCAGAAGATTTGCTTCTCAATTTGTACCATTACTAGAACACAAACAAGCCCCCAAAACTGTGTAACTCTAATTTCAAAACAACACACAGGTCTAACATCCTATTTAGCAACACATTTTGTACCTCCAAGCACATCACCCAAACAAACTACCAAAAGCCTACTTATTTACTGCAAAATGCAAAGGAACTAGAACTTCTCACATAGCTTTCATTTTTCTGTTATTCGTATTACCCCTCCAGGCACAGGCCTGTCTTTGTCTACATATGGACAACAGCTGGCACAACTGAGCCTTGATCTAGGTTCATGTATCTACGTAGATCATAAATAAAAAGAAATTTTGTGTACTTAGCATACATGAAGATTCGTCTTCTCTGGGGGGTAAAACACAATCAGGAGATGGAAAGATTGCCTACAGCCAACAGGTTGTAGGCTCTGGATATTGTGATCCTGTTTGGGAACCTTTAAGAAATCAGTCTGTTCCCATTTTACATCCTGAATTTTGCTCTTTGCACATAGTTTGTCTCAGAAACATCAATAAAGATTAGCTCTGCACTATCTAGTAAGAAAAAAAAAAAAAATGACCCACGACTGATAGAGAGCAGCATGTTCAGTCACTAGCCTGGGGAAAAGTCCATGTGATAATACTGGAGGGACACTTAACTGTCTGACAGCAGAACCATGTTTACACAGGAGAGAAGAGAATTATGCTGTCAGCCTAAAGCTGTTTTCAGACTTGACAAATTACATACATTATATTTATCTCTGTGGAAGGATGGCATTCATAGTCCCTCAGAAATGCTTTGCATATAGGTGGGAGTTCCCATTGCCATTATTCCTTCTGAATTATATCCTCATATTAACAGAAAAGTACCCCACGCTCCTTTTTACAAACTTAGGAACTATGCTTCATCTGCCACTTCTGTAGCCCAGTTTTGCCAAGCGAAGAAAAGCAGCTATCCATGTTCAGTGCAAGCGCAGGCACAAATCACTAAAAGTATACTCAAGAGGTGTCTGATCTCAGTGGCAGCAGCTTGCCTGGTTGTTACCTTTCATAATAGCTTGTAGTGAAGCTACTTCTTCTTGCCACTGTCTCTTCACCTCATCGATAGCTTCCTGCTTTGTATTCTCAGATACTGTAGCTATAGCTTTGATGTTCTCCATTTCAGCATGAGCTTCCATCAGCTGGGTCCGCAATTGTCCCAGATCATCTTGGGCTGCTTGCAGCACTGCATTTTGTCTTTTTAAGTCCTCTGAAAAGAAGTATTATTTACAGTTAGCTTGATTAATAAATTCAGTCTGGAGAGTACCCATAGTTGCTATGGCAAAGAATAGTGCTCTAACATGGGAGTGAAGGAAGCACTGATATTAAAACATCTACTCATAACAACTGAACAAACATTAGCAGGTATCTTTAGGGAACATTATTGCTTGACTTCGTTTGCCCTTGCCTTTTATTAAACAAGTACCTTCTCACGGGGGCAGCCACAAAGCAGACACTGTAGATATAAAGTATGAATCAATGTAACTTATGAAAGTAAACTGTGCTTTTAATTAGTTCATTATTTAACTAATTCTGGTAATGAATCTGAAAAATTTAAGAACAACAGAGAGGAAGGCAGTTCTTCCCCCATTTTTGGCATCAACTTGGTTCTGAATTTGGATAGTACACTTCATTTTTCTTGAACAGAAACACTGAGACCACTACATGGAACCCACATAAGAAAATTATGCAGCCTAATTTGCTCTTTACGATGGCTTTGCTAACACTGAGCTTCTCCTGAAAAAAGAGATGCATTCAATGGAACATCCATTACTTCTCTAATTGTTGCACCTATAAACAGAAATTCAAATTATTTCACTAATAAAATTAATTTCACATTATTCTCCTAAGTTTTCAGTTAATCTGAAGGAAAAAGCTCTGGAAGATGTATCTTATACAATTACTTCCAAAAGCACTAACACAAATAAATAGAGTTTTATGCCCATATAGCCTATTTCAACAACAATCACTTTTAGCAGAAACATCTAGCTAGTGTACAAGAAACACCAAGCCATCTCCATGTATTTCCCTCAATATCAAAAAGCTTAATTAATCCTGGTACCCAACACCTTATGCCTTGATAGAGAATATGGAACACAGAGCTAATCAGGTACTCAAAATGACATTAATCTTCTCATTAAAAAACCCAAGATTCTGTAGAATTTATATTACTTAGTTTTCAAATGTCAGTATTAAGGATGGGTTGTGACAGTCCCAATGTACATTTAGGAAACGGTCTTGGAAAACAGGGAGGGAAAAATGTTTTGGGAAAAGAAAAAAAGACAAGTAAGTGCTTGTATATTTTCCTCCGGTATCCTTTCACTTCAGTACATGTGAAAGTTGGATTTTTTTTCCCCTCCCCCCATCACAATTTATTTTTATTTTTAATGTTTTTTACTGCTCTGAAAAGGGACAACTATTGATGATCTCATCAGTAGTGTCTTGTACCTTTAATTTCCTCTCATCCAGCTGCTAGAAACACACAGAAATCAACCTTCTGTATGATCTGATCTTCATTATGCCTGTTGTATTTCTGCTCTCAAACCTACACAAGCAGCTGCAGTCTTAATGTATTATTTTTTGGCTCTACTTTCATATGTAAAGAACAGGAAAATCATCAGGATTAGAAATAAATCAGTCTGACTCTTAGAACAACAGCTATCTCTACTGTCCAATTCTTCATCTGATATTTGAGCTCATATGGTTCAAATTTTCCTATAAAGCGTGTTATGGAAATAGATGCCCTTGGCTGGTATTAAAGCTTTTATACTGTTTGCCTGCTTACATTCTACCTCAGAATGAAATTTAAGACAAATTAATATTACATAAAAAAGTTAGCCACAAAGTACAAACAGTACACCATCTAGACTACATCTTTTCACTGTTCAGAGAACGAGCACACCACAACTTCAGAAATTTAGTATTAAAACTCAGTGGTGGTGTTTCTGCCTGTACATCAAGTTGCTCTGCCGACTCCTATCCATGCAGGCAAATCTAAGTTTAATTCTACAAATTCATTCTAGGAAGCTAAATAGTCACATACTGAATTTTACTCTCTCCTTGTCTCTTATGTTTTTACTATATCTGTTTGAAAGAATACCATAACTTTTCCATTTTTGGCAAATCAGACAACAACAATACCTTATCCCACTAACCATGCTGGGTATGTAGTCACTATCCCAGCAGAAAACCCCCTTAAATCCCAATTATCCTTAACCAAAAAAAAAAAAAAAAAAAAAAAAAAAAGGGAAGCATGTGGTGTGCATGGGCAAATGGGGGTAGTAATTGGCATTACAAAGATTATTCGGGGATTATTTGAAGATTAAGTTTAATAAATTTTATAATAATTCAGAGAATTGAGAACTTACCTTCCTTAGCCAAGTATAACTCCTTAAATTTTGCTCTCTTTTGATTAAATTCTTGCTCAAGTTGCTGCTTTGTGCGCAGGAATTCTGCATTGACCTTTTCTAATTCTGCTACTCGTTGTAGAAGAGCAACTAAAAATAAAACAGAAGATAAGGTACGTCACTAACAGTTAAGGTGTCCCATTCTGCACATTTGAGGTTTGGGGCTTACTCTTTTTAAAATATCTTTACTCATTAACTCAGCTGCTGCCCCATGATACATCAGGACAACTAGTCTGAGTCCTTTAAGCAGCAAAGGAAGATAAGCTTTCTTAGACTGTAGCATGAAATTGTAATTAGACATTTTCACAGCACTAGAGGTGCTTGGGGCAGGGAATTCTGTAGAGAACAATCAATCTTCCAATGAAAACCACAATTTTCTATATATAATGAAGGAAGAAATGGAAAAAAAAAAAAAAAAAACAAAAACCAAACAACAAAACAGCACCAGAATTATTTCCACTGGTGCTTCTTTCCAAAACACTGGGAATTTAGTCAGGAGGCACAGGAACAGCATGTAAAGGCTGAGCAACAAAGCATCAAGTTCTGAAAGGCTGACATCAAAGAAAACACTGACAGCCACTCAGCTAACAACTATGGAAGAACAGAGCACAGAAAAACCCATAAGCTAAAAATTAGGTACCGTTATCTTTCCTGTCTTCATTTCTGCACATTCACTGAAGAAGGTGAACCAGACTATACTCAGAGAAGTTTGCCAGAAAATTACCACAATCTATGGAGAAATAACTGATCATAAGATGAAACTCGAATTTCCAGCAAGTAAAAAAATCATCAAGGGCACACATACATCTTGCTATTTTCCAGTATTTACCCCACTAGCAATTGATCTGGTGGTATAAGAGGGAACAGTATGAAGTCCACAAAGTACCTAAAGATTGTTACAATGAGGTGGTTATTGCAAACAAACAAAATACATAATGCCATCATATGATGCTATAAAGAACCCACAAAACCACTGCCCCTATAATATTTGTATTCATGTGCAATATTAACTTCTTTGCACCTCAAGAAGTATAGGTCTCGTTTAGATGCCTGACAGTTTCATATTGCACACCTCAGAATTCAAATACAAAACACAAACAAAAGACGGATGAGCTAGAACAAAATCCATCTTCATGTTGCAATGCACTGGCCAAATAATGTTCCTCTACACAATCCTCTATCTGTTCTGCAAAAGCATTTTATGAATATGTTCCAACTCTGTTGTGCAAAGCTGAATCACTTTTCAGTTACAGCCTCTCTATAGCATAGACTAAATACAAAAAATACTGATTCATCAGAAGTGTTTACGTATCACACCTAACACACTACCCACTAAAAGCAAGTAGTGAAAACATTGCACAAAGGCTGTGCGACACCAGCACCAAACATTTAGACTTACAGCCAAGCCAGAATCAGATCTACAGCTTACAGTGGTAAAACACTGGATGGTCAATGCCATTGAGACTGGGTGAGTTGTATTTATTTTTAGTACCAGATGACTTGGAGTAAGAACAAACAAAAGGACGTTTTAAAAGCATAGGTATGTTTTACAGATTGCTGGTTATGAGAAGTTAAGCTATTACAAAATACAACACTTAATCTGTTCTGTATCTGAGAAAAGGTATATGCAGATACAGGACTAAAGAAGTTTTAATTTTGCTTTTTTTGTTGAAATCCTCATTTTAATTTTGCATCACCTTAAATACTAACACATCAGTTTCTGGCCAGCAACCCCTACCAGTACAGTGCAAAGCCAATTGCACAGGAGTACTCTCCAGAAAATGAAAGGAACCTGTAGCCAAGACAACACACTGAGAGCAAAGCTTCAAGTGAGTTAGGAAAGCGGCTGGATCAAACCCAGGAAAGAAATAACACACATGCAGACAGGCCCGGGTAGCAAAAACGCTTCCCAAGGCTAAAGCGTTGCCTTTGATCTCTTGCTGAAGTCTTCCAAAGGGAAAGGGTTTGCTGATGTTTCCACTCGCCGCTGACTTCTGAGAGAGGGCGATGCTGCCAGCAGAGCTGCTTCCTGCAGCCCGGGGCAGAGCGGCTCGATGGCCCGGCCAGGCCGGGGCCCCACAGCCCGCCTGCTTCACACCTCTGGGGAATGAAAAGCCACGCTTGGCTATAAGGAGGCGGTTTTGATCTCTCAGTTTCAGCTCTTGAAAGGAAACTGTCCGAAGCACTAAGTGAGCCATACTCCGTGGTTGGGGGCAGGTCGCTAAACCCTACAGGTCCCGCCAGGCAGCTCTGCATCCGCACTTACCGGCCAGGAGGCCTGAAGCCACAGGCATACATTCAAAACAAAACAAGGAGAAAGCTGGACGCTGTTCACCTCACAAACCCTGTTTTGAAGACCACACAAAAATTCGTTTAATTCTGCAATTACTAATTCTGAAAGTTAACAAATCAACTGACTCAAGCACTCCTTGTTTTCCTGTTTACTTCTCCATCTCTCTTTCGCAGAGACACAGCAGCAGCTGTGCAGCAGCTCCCAACAGCAAGCTGTTGTGCAAAGCAACCAAGTTGTATTTCTTCCGGAGGTGAGAGTTGCTTCTGCTGAGGATGGAAGGACAGAGGACACCACCAGGGCAGAACAACAGGGTCTTACTTTTTAAATTCTCCCGCCCAAACAGAAAGAGGGATGGCAGAGTAACCAAGAAGGAAATGCAATTTAACTATTTACATTTTTACGGTATTCACCCTTTCTGCAGTCTGCAGTTATGTGTAAGAAGTAATAAATAAATAAATAATCAACTCCCACCACCACAGAGCTCTGGCAGCTGCCAGGACCAGCTGTAGGCACTCAAAAAATGAACAGTTTAAGCTCTCAACTGCAGGTCATGCCTCACTGCAACTGTGTGTTACCATCATTCTATCCAGATACTAAGTTTAAAGTGGTTTTACCACCTGTGCTACATATACAGCTCAGGACAGACCTCTGCATTTCCACAACACTGCAGTGATAAAAGGCATGTAAACCTGAGGACAAAAAGCTATGCAATTCATCAGTGCCCTAAAACACAAGTGCATAAAAAGCAAAAGAAGACTTAGTTTTCACGACAGCATAAGAACTACCTCCTTTCTACTAAATCATTAAGTTTACAAAAAAATTTTTTTCTTCTCTGGGGGTATGATTTCCAAAATGAAAGCATGAACCCAAATCCAACCTGCCAGATGCAGGTAACCACGGGCTACATGACGCTGATTAAAGTTGGCCTGGAAAGGCACCGAAGCCAATGGCAGGAAAGGGACTCATTCATGATTTTCAGTCAGGCCTTTGCCATTTATAGCTTACTCTGAATTTAGGTCCAACTCATCCCAAGTCTGTAACAGAGCTGAAAAAGAAAACTTTTCATTTGCCATCATAGGCTATCAACTTAAAAAAAATATCCCCAAACCAAAACATACACTTTGCAGTGACATTATTCATTAACTTGCCAGAGTCACTGTCCCTATGCTCCTCTTTCCATGCACAGAAATGCAGCTATCAATGTTTAACTGACACCAACAAAGTATGTAGTAAACAAAGCTGGATAGATGGCCAGTTCTGGTGGAGCTATGCCCAACTGAAACAGGATCTTGTGTTACATACGAGATCAGAACAGGCACAGAACATGCTGTATTTCATAAGAGCAGCAGTGTGGAAAACTTAATTCCATAATTAGGGGCCCTAACTCATCAAGAAACAAACAAAATGCCTAAAGACCCAATTTCTTAAATCCTGAAATAATATTGAGAAGAACTTAAATTAAAATTGATATGCAAACTAAAAAACAAACAGGTAAATAAGAAGTCCCTTCGGCTACCAATTTATTAGCTGTAAATAGCACATTATTTTCCCCCAGATTATTAAGGTAAATAGACTACCGATGGCACAGTTAGACATGCCAATTAAATTACTAGCTTTGTTTCTAACAAACAGCAGAGATTTTGCAAAGACACATCAGGTCAGACGCAGGGATCACCATCTCTGTTTAACACTAACATAGCAAAGTACAGCATATGCTGTTACATGTCTTAACCAGGTAGAAGAACTTGAGAAGGGCAGCAAAATTAATTCCAGAGTGGAGTCATCAATTTACAGAACCATGAAACTACTGGAGTACAAAGAGAAACTCTAGTGAAAAATATACAGCTTTCTTTGAACCCACTGCACATCAAAATTTAAATTCAAGGCAAACACAGGAACAGAGACACATTCCTATTGACTATTTACTTAAATGCTGCTCTACAGACCAGCTCCCAAAAGGATTAAATTTTATGTATGACAAGGTTTCCAGTTACACAAACATGTAGTGACCATTCCAGAACTAAAACAGACAAATCTGATTATCAATATGACTATTTTTGAGTACTAGATCTATTTATAAAATTAATGCCACAAAGCTTTCTACTTGATATTTAAAGTGTCAAATATGACATCAAGAGGTCAGTTTTACATAGCTGAAATCTGAAAAGCAGATCAGAAAAAGAGCTATACATACAATAAACTTTATGGAGACAAAAAAAAAAAAAAAAAAAAATCACTTCTGTCATTCTCTACCTTTCTTTTCCTGTCATGATTGCCTGAGACAGAAATATGGAAAAATAAAAATATATGGCTGTCCATTTTTCTTCATGCTTATTTCCTAAGAGTATTAATTTTCATCTATCATGACATCATATTGGACCCACAATTGTTACCATATAAATTTTTAATCTAAAAGTCTGCCACCAGGACATGTATTTTTGACTGCAAAAAGCTTTTCTTTATTTTCTTCAAACATTTGATCTGATTAAAAACAAAACAAAACAAAACAAACAAACAAAAAACAAAGCTAAAACCACCCACACTCTTAAAATATACTCCAATACAGTTGTTCTGCAACAGGCACCCAGAAGTAAAGGCATAGATTATGGTTCTTATTTGCCTTTTCCAAACTTGCATTTGGAAGCATCAAGCATTTCATTTACCTAGTCAAATGTCTAAAGCTTAATGATCAGCATACATTTTTCTAGTTTTGTTGGAGGACAGAGAATTACACCAGATTTCTCACTCGCCACCTTCACTTTCAGAGTGGCAACAAGTCCCTCTGGCTTGTCATGCC